CATTGAAAGGGAGCTCAAGTGAGCCCGGTGTCTCGGCTGCAACCCCCGTGCGGCTACTTCAAGTCGCCGACTCACTCGGCTTAGCTGAAAGAGCCGCTGGTATGTGAGGCTTTCTTGCTGTCGCCAGTGAGCCTCACCGCCGATCTTTACGCGGGGCCAGTTGTCTGATGCCAAGATGGACCTTGGATCACATGCAGAATGCTGCACTCTGGAGCCCAATCGCGAGAATGGTGTTCTTCGCCCGAGAGCTTGCTCTTGAATCCAGCACTCAGGCTTCGATGTTTTTTCAGTCTCCAACACAGAACCGTTCTCAAGGCAGACTTCGACAAAGAGACAAGTCTAGATGGAATACATTGGGAGTGGGATGCTGGCTGGGAACTTGGTTGCCGTGGCCAGACAAGTACACGCCATCGCCGTGGGCCCAAGCAGTCTTGGGCCGACTGACACCGGGGCGAATGGAAAGATCGCCTGGAATTACTCAACTAGTGTCAAGGCTGTTTTTTGCGATGGTGAACTGTCGTTATTCGCTCGTGATGCCTTATCAGTGTCAGGCTCCATGGAAATCCCATCAGTCGCAGGGTGCTGCCGTGCTCGAGGCGCGATGCTACACGATGGAGGAAGCGACGCCATGCCGGACGAAGATCACCAGAGCTGTAGTTAGCCTGGCACCGACTTAGCCATATTTTTCAGGGTAGACTCTGATCCAGCAGTTCCGAGTTGCAAGTGAAGATATTCTTGTTCCATTGTTGCTCGCCTCCGAGGCCACGTGCCTGTCTTTTGGGTATCTGGTGTTTAGGAAGTACAACCATAAAGACCCCATCTCCCGCGCTATCCCGTGTACAACATACCTGCAACGCTGGCGGAGGTCAGAGTCGACAGGATACCTGAAAACAACGCGGAGACGGCTACTCTAGAGACGTCGGCTGCACGACCGGGCGCGATCTGAGAGAGAACGCCGATTTGCGTGCCGAGGGCGCCGACATTCCCGAAGCCCTGTGAGGTGTGAGATGGAAACTTTACCAATATGAAAGGTATGCACTTACACAGCATGCATACGTAGCAATAAGCCGTGAGCGAGGTGACATCGAGACGTATGGCTCGGCGTTGCTTGAGAGTGACTTGAAAGCCAGGAACTCGTTCGTGATGATCTTGATGCCGATGAGTTCTCCTACGACCAGAAGATCCTTGTTCGGCACCCCGAGGCACCATGCCACCGGATAGAAGACGTATCCAAGGATGAGTTCAAGCGTCAGCGGCGGGTTGCTGATATTCAAGTACCTTCCCCACCAGCCGAGGAGGCCATTGACGAGGGCCACGAACGAGATCACGCAGAGAAGAGTTGCGACGATCATGCCAGCCACTTTGACTCCCAGCCACGCCCCATTCGCGAACGCATGTAGGGCATTGGCAGCCTTGTCTTCGTCTTCTGGGACTGTGATCTTGCCCGAGCTGATGGTCTCTTCGGTCTCCGGGTATCGCAACTTCGACACTGCTAAGCTCGCAGGTATCGACATGATGCACGATGAAACGAGGACTTGCGCGTTGAGGCCGAGACTGATGTATCCGACCAGCACCGATCCAGCTATCGTCGCGAACCCGCAGGTCATCACCTGGTGTATCTCGGCGAGGGTCAGATGCGGGATGAAGGGTTTGATGAGCATCGCCGATTCTCCTTGCCCCACGAACGGGGTCGCGGTTGCTACCACGGCTTCGGCGCCGGAGACCCGCAGGGTCCAGAAGAAGAAGATGGCGAACTTTCCGATGAACCATTGAAGTAGCCCGCAATGATATAGCAGCTGCACTAGAGAGATGAAAAAGATGATTGGCGGAACAACGCTGATGAGGAACCATGTTCTCGTCGGGACCTCGTCGTCCGTGAGAAACCGGAGGCCATCTTTTGCAAACTCAAGGAGCGTCCTAGCCATCTCTGAGATGAAGGCGAAGATGTCGTATCCCACGCTCGTCTTCAGGACAAACACGGCAATGAGGAATTGGGTGAGCATGCCTCCGATGACGGTGTGCCATGGAATCTTCCTCCAGTCTCGGGATGTGGCCGCGAGGAGAGCGATCAGGAGGACGAGGCCGAAGAGTGAGATCGCCCGACTTGCACGGGTATTGTCGCCGACTTCTGCGGGAATCATCGCGCCGACGATGAAGACTGCCACAGTGATTGCGGCGGCGATTGGTTTATGCAGCTTTTGCGGCGTCATGTCATACGCCCTGAACATCGTGTTTCGCCAGATGAAGCGCAGAGGTATCATCACCGAGGCAGCAGGGAGCCATAGTGTGATGATGCGGATGGTGATGGCAAGGTACACCAAGAACGGCTTGAGCCATCCGAGGCTGTCTGACCGGTGGAAGATGAGGCCGACGATCCACCATCTGTTCGCGCATGGTGTCAGTTCAACACCTTCGACGACATGTGATGCAATTGACCTCTACTCACCCCGTCCATGCCAGCCAAATGACAATGTGTATCGGAAGCCTGTACTTCTTGTAGAATTTTGAGATCCTGAACTTCTTCTTCTTCTTCTTCGTGTCTCGGACGCCTTCCACCTGTTCAACGCCAGCTTCGAGGTCGCTTCCATCCGTGCTTCCTCCGGTCTTCGGGCTGTGGTCCTCCCGCTGCTTTGAGTCGTCATTTTGCGTCTGTTTCGTCTTCTCAAAATCACTTCCATTGCTGGTTTCATGCGCTCTATCTGCGGATGGCCGCGCATCTATTTCAGTCATGTTCGCTGGCGTTGCAGAAGGATCATGACCAACGCTCGTCCTCCAAGATGCGAGATGAAGGTAGGTCTATCTCGGATGACGTTCGCAGTGAGAACGGCACGGGGACAGCAGATAAGCTAGTGAACAAGGTGTGGCGATTAGATCACCGTGTCTTAGTTCGATAGGGACATCGGACGATGATGCAGGACTGAAGAGAACAGTTAAGTCTGTATGGAATGCTACAGGCGAGGCATGATGTTGTTTGAAGAAAGGAGACAAGATAATCCCCAGAGGCAGTCACTCATGAAAAGCCCTTTTCATATCTTTGAACACTAACATATCGTCGTCGCCAATGCCGAAGCTCATGAATCGACCTGCATGGTGGCGGCCAGCCAGGTGCATCCTCCCACGCGGCGCCGATGCCGCGTCGCCCTTACACGATTTCACAACGATCCAGCATGAACACATCACATGCTACTTCAGCAACCAGGACATTGCTTCAGAGAAATATCGAAGTTGCAGAGGGAGATATCGTTTTGCAGTGAGCTGCTGGTCAGCAACTTTGTCTGGTCGCTATTCTCCGTACCCGGAGGTCTCCTGCGTAGCAAGGTGTGGGGTAAACGACGGTGACGTCGATGTTTCACCGATGTCAGCCGCGCTTATGTATGGTTAGGCGGTCCGGACGAACTCTATCTCAACAAAAACTTTGCCGAATTCGAACGGCCTGGACGGGCCTGCCGATCGCTCGGGGATCTTCACCGCATACTGTCCACGAGGTCGTGAAGTGCACGAGATGGGTTCGCAGGCAGACCTGAGCAAGGGATCTCAACCCCAGAAGCCAGTACTCTTCTTGTGAGTCACTGTGGAACACCGTGAAGGTCAACTGCGTGAACTCGTTGCTTACTTGTGCACTGCCTAGCGACATCGACAACTGCTTGTATTCGAGAGGTGAGACCTGTACAGATTTGCGAGGGGGATTGAACGCCGTAGCTAACCGTTCGGCTAGATGCTAAGATCTTCGACCTGGTTTCCGACTTGATCGATGACTACTTTGAGAAGCATCTATCTCTGACTCGAGAGGAGGCAGTAAAGCTACATCACCAGTACCATACGGACTATGGACATTCGATCGAGGGCTTGGTCCGACACCACAAGATTGATCCCATAGAGTACAACGCCCAGGTTGATGATGCGCTGCCCCTCGAGGATATCTTGAAGCCAGATGTGCAACTCCGAAAGCTGCTTGAGGATGTCGATACCTCTAAAGTCCGGCTCTGGTTATTAACCAACGCGTACGTGACTCATGCCAAAAGAGTTATCCGGATTCTTGGTGTCGAGGATCTCTTCGAGGGGTTGACGTACTCCGACTACTCGCAAGTGCCCTTCATCTGCAAGCCGAACAAGAATATGTTCCTAAAGGCTATGAAGGAAGCTGGGGTGGAATCCGTTCAGGATTGTTACTTCGTCGGTATGGTTTCTAATGCTGAGTCCCAGGAGACGTTTCCACGTTGACTCAGATGCACAGATGACTCTTATGGGAATTGCGTCGGCGCTCAGAAGGCTGGCTGGACAGCGGCTCACTTTCTGGAGAGAGGGCTCCCCATACCTCCGAAAGCGGCATCACAGCATCAGATTCAAAGTTTGGAGGAACTCCGAGATATCTTTCCTCGGTTTTTCAAATCTCGAACCTGTTCCGAGACCTCATCATAGCTGACAACTAGAGAAACATGGAGTAGACTGCAAGCGTACCTTACAATCCAGAGTCGCAGTAATCAATACATCGTAAAAATTTAGAATAGAACACAAGTTAATTTCTGCAAAACATCGGCATCTTGTCTCACACTGTTCATGTGTATGTAATGGAGTCGAGTCTTAGAGCAAGCAAGTTTCGCCGAAGGCATTCCCAATGTGGCCTCCAGATTCTCAGTCATTTTTTCCCTTTCAGTCTCCCTTGCAACGAGAGTTTCCCCGACATTAGATCCTCATGGAACAGGATTGAGACAATCACATAGCTGGTAATCTCGGAGGCGGCCTATTTCTCCACTCCGGAACCGGAGATGCATGCGGTGTCCAATTAGATCGTCTATTTCGAAGCTTTGGTGGAGCAATAAGTCCGCTATTTAAGGTTTCGCGTCCGAGTCGTCATCCCCGCCATCCACCGGAAACACTACAGACGGACGGAGAGGCCACTTTGTGAACCTGCTGATCGGCTTCAACCCCATCACAAGACTGTCGAATACGAGAAACCGAATCCTCAATTGACGCGTGTGCATTGACGCGGGATTCTCAATATGCCCTGCGAATCGGGTTGCTGTGGTCCGCCTAAGGATCCAGCCCCGACCCCCGCACCAGCTGCCCTCCCTGGGACGAACACTAGTCTCACCGTTGCAGAGGAACGGATTGCAGAGGGCGATGGCAAAGACAGCATCGAAGACGTTGAAGATTTGAGAGATGGAGACGGCAACCAAGGCTGCTGCGGCTCTGCGACCGACAAGCCAACCTTGAGCCGTGAAGTCAATCCCACGGATCTCAGTGAGAGCTGCCAGGATCAGTGTTGCTCTTCAACCGCTGCTGATGAAGATAGCTTCGGTGCCGAGCAATCGAATGTCGCAGACGATTGTAAGGACGGTTGCTGTGGCACTGTCAACATGGAACGAAGCGATAAAGGGAAAAGCGTTAGCTCTGCGGCTGCCAAAGTGGTCAACTCTTGCTGCGATTCCAACACTGCAACTGAAGACAACTGCAAGAAGAAATGTTGCGGCAACAACACCATAAAAAACACCATCAAAAACACCAACGTTGCCTCCGATGACGAGTTCACACTGAAAGATGATTGTAAGAAGGGTTGTTGCGGTGATTCCGTCAAAAATGCAAGCGAGATTGTCGATGTTGTTGGCAACAACCCGAGCAAGCCAGACGAAAGCTGTGGTCCAAAGGTCAATGCCGAAGAGAAATACAACAAGGGATGCTGCGAGACAGTCCAGGAGAGCAAGCCCGTTCAGACAAGCGGCACTTTGACTGCTATCGAGCATGACTGCTGCGCTCCGGTTGCCAAGGTTGAAGAGAATTGCAAGAAGGGATGCTGCTCCTCTCCAGTTCCAAAACCTCAGGAAGAGAAGGTTCCCAGCTGCTGTGAAGGCAAGACTTCTCCTTGCTGCGACTCGACTTGCATTGATCGTCTCGCTCTACGCGAGTGTACCAGCGGCAAGCGTTCCAACAGAAAAGGTGAGTCACACGCACGCCACCTCAATCTATTCGCGACTGACACGGCTCGTAGCTCGATCAGGAGCGGAAGGGTGCACTGGTGGAAAAGACGGGAAGCCATGCCGTGGCCACGCCCGTACCGTTCGCGAGACCTATCAGGCAAAGCTTGAAGCCTTGGGCTGCATCTGCCGCGCCCTCCTCGCTCTCGGTCAAGAATCGTGCTGCGCGCCTCGCGATCGTTCGTCTGTCGAAAAGAAACGAGCATCAATCAGCTCGCTTCGCACCCGCAGTTCAGTTGACTCTTCTTGTGCACCAGGGCCGAGCAAACCGGTCTGCGCAACAAACAGAGGTCTCAGGACTAAAAGGGCAGGTTGGTCTGCAAGCCCAAAGTTTAAAAGCGGAGGGTGCGCTGATGAGTGCTGCGCCGTAACCAACAAGCCCAGCGCAGTTGGTTCTTGTGCGGATTCTTGTTGTGGCGATGAGGATCCGCCTGCCGCTTCCCAACCTCTCTGCAAGTCTGGTGCAAACATCACCAACGATAACGACCTTGAGAGGGGCGTGTCTGGAACAGAGCATGTCGTTCTTAGTATCTCGGGCATGACATGCACGGGTTGCGAGACCAAACTCAAGAGAACGCTTACCACCTTGGACGCAATCAAAAATCTCAAGACTAGTCTTGTTCTTGCGCGTGCAGAGTTCGATCTAGACGTCGGAGTTGGCTCGGCGGACGATGTCATCAAGCATCTCGAACGGACGACGGAGTTCAAATGCGAGAAGATCACGAGCCAGGGGGCCAGCATCGACCTCCTATCTTCTGGCCGGCCAGAGAATTTGATCAGCCAGCCATGGCCGGCGGGCGTCACAGACATACGTGTTGTTGATAGCAAGACTGTTCACGTTGAGTTTGATGCAGAGGTTGTTGGGGCTCGAGACCTGGTTGAAAAAGGTTGGAGCAGTCCCATGGAACTTGCGCCCCCTCGAGCCGACCCGACACTTGAAGCGGGCGGCAAGCATGTTCGCCATGTTGGGATGATGACTTTGCTCTCTATCATCCTGACTGTTCCGGTTCTCGTGATGGCTTGGGCACCTTTGCCGGATAATGAGGTTGCTTATGGTTCAGCTTCTTTGGCATTGGCAACTATTGTTCAGATTGCTATTGCTGGACCATTCTATCCTACAGCACTCAAGAGCTTGATCTTCTCCAGAATGATTGAGATGGACCTGCTCATTGTACTGAGTACTAGCGCCGCCTACATCTTCTCAGTGGTGTCGTTTGGTTATCTAGTCTCTCACAAGCCTCTGTCGACCGGGGAGTTCTTTGAGACGAGCACACTCCTCGTCACTCTCATTATGGTTGGCAGATACGTTGGTGCGCTGGCTCGTCAGAAGGCCGTTGAGTCCATTTCCATCCGATCTCTGCAGGTGTCCACAGCGACAATCATCGACACCTCGGGCCAGGAAAAGGAAATTGACTCTCGGCTGCTTCAGTATGGAGACACTTTTCGAGTTGCTCCCGAGTCTCGCATTCCAACCGACGGCACAGTCATATCTGGTTCGTCTGAGCTAGACGAGTCTATGGTCACGGGCGAATCAAGAGTAATCGAGAAATATGTAGGCTCTTCTGTCATTGCAGGCTCGATCAATGGCTCTGGGACCCTCAAGATACGCCTAACTCGTCTGCCCGAAGACAACACGATCAGCAACATCGCCGGGATGGTTGACGAAGCCAAGCTGTCCAAGCCTAAAATACAGGATATAGCAGATCGTGTTGCGTCATACTTCGTCCCAGTTGTAGTCACATTGACGATAATTACATTTGCCGTATGGATTGCCGTTGGAGTCGCTGTCCGCAAACAGTCCGGCTCCCAAGCAACGATCCAGGCAGTCACGTACGCAATCACCGTCCTCATCGTATCATGTCCATGCGCTATTGGACTTGCAGTTCCTATGGTGATCGTCATCGCCAGTGGAGTCGCTGCGGAAAAGGGCGTCATCTTCAAGTCGGCCAACAGCATCGAGGTCGCTTACAAGACCTCGCATGTAGTTTTCGACAAGACAGGGACACTGACCCGTGGGGAATTAAGCGTGTCTAAAGAATCGTACGTTACTGGCGATCCAGAAGCGACGCAATCCTTGCTTCTTGGCCTTGTTGGTAGCATCAAGCATCCCGTATCCGCAGCGGTTGCCGCCCACCTAAAGGCGAATGGTATATTGCCAGCGCCGGTATCCGATTCCAAGACTTTGACGGGTAAGGGTGTCGAGGGAACCATCTCTGGTCGCAAGCTCCGCGCTGGCAACTCGCGATGGCTGGGTCTATCGTCCGATCCTGCTGTCGAGTCCTTCTTGTCGCAAGGATACACCGTCTTCTGCTTCACGGTCGACGGGACGTTGGTTGCATTGTTTGCGCTAGAGGACTCGGTGCGGCCCGAGGCTTTCGCAACCGTGTCCAAGCTGCAGGCCTCCAACGTCTCGGTCCACATCCTTTCGGGCGACGATGACGGAGCGGTCCAGGCGGTTGCTTCTCAACTCAACATACCCGAGGCTAATGTGCGCTCGCGATGCAACCCCGCAGACAAACAGGACTACATTCAGCAGCTCTTAGCCACACCCTCCACCCGTGTGTCCAAATCGGGAAAGAAGCCGAAGAAGCCCGTCGTGATGTTCTGCGGAGATGGCACTAACGATGCCGTTGCACTGGCCCAGGCTACCATTGGCGTCCACATGAACGCGGGCACTGACGTGGCTAGATCTGCTGCCGATGTTGTCCTGATGCGACCCAGCCTGACCGGTATCCTCACCGCCATCGCGGTGAGCAGAAAGGCCATCCATCGGATTGCATTCAACTTTGGCTGGAGCTTCGTCTACAACTTGTTTGCCATCCTCCTCGGCTCAGGGGCTTTCGTCAACGCCCGCATCCCACCGGAGTTTGCTGGCCTCGGCGAACTTGCCTCCGTCTTACCTGTCATCGCCGCTGCGGTGCTGTTGCGTTGGAGTAAATTGTAAGGTACTCAGGCTGATTGGTAATCATAGCGTCCACACCGGAATGCTTCCAGGAGGGGTGTGTCGGAATACTGGCGGAAAACACTGGCGGGAAACTTTCCTGGAGAGGAGGGTGACGGCCAAAGGGGGGACGCCTGAGGATGTGCGTCGTCAAGCAGATTCAACATCTGTTCTGCAGGCTGAGACTTCTATTCACAAAACTCCATGCTTTGATTGGACGGTGGCGGCTTTCCGCAGTGTTGATGTGGAAGCATGCTACCATCCGAACGTGATCGATTATTTCCAATAGGACAGTTTGTGATTGTCTAAATCACAATTCACACTCATCGCGAATGCCCCACGGTCTCCACCTACCCCTGTGTGCCTGATGTCTCGCGGAAGCCGGATGTTGCGCGTTTACCCACTTGAGAACGTGTCCCTGCGAAGGGTTGCTCATTCAGAACCCTGCAAGATCCTTTCGAAAATCTAGACAAACTTCCGACCGGGGACCTTCTGGTTTGAAGCCTTGAACGTGAGCAAGCCTTGTCTGTTAGTTGACCCCCCTCCACCCGCCCTACCGATATGAACCCTGCGAGCCTCAACCCAATCTCAAAGTGAACGAAGTTGAGATCTTTGCGGTCCTCCGGGACGCCACATTGCTTTTTCCAATTTGATGCAGCACGGGTTTCCAGAGAGGGTGTGTCGCTTGCCGAAGTACAAGCTACAAACATCCAGATATGGCCACTTGACAAGACAGAGCGGAGGGGGTTCCGACGGAGGCAACGGACCAAGGGCGTCTCGCGTCGTCAATTGGCCATTTCCCCCTAGCTTCCGATCCCTCTTACATGTATGCGATGCACAGCCCCTTTCAGCTCTAAGGTATGACTCCAAGGATCGAAGGATGACGCGAAAAGACCGAACTCCGATGTGAAGCCTGCGGAACGGGACGAGCCAAGACGCTCAACTCACTTGTGTAGCGCCAGCATGTCTCTCAGACATACATACAGCCCTGACTTTCAAAGCAAAGCTTTCTCGCTCAGAGCAGGTCTCTGAGACTCCTTGCCTCGGTATTTGAGTGCCAAAGATGAGGGCCACCTGCTACTGGGTACCGATCGCGTGTTCCTTCACCGGTAGTTTCTGCGCCATATAATTATGCCCGCGGAGTCAACAATGACCCACCTCTCAGTAGATCAATCTTGGCCGGCCGAGGACTCAAATAGTGACAGGGGCATTTTAAGACACTGATGTTCTGCCATATACTTGGACGTGAACTTCACATTTCGTCCCCTGGGTGGACCGGTCAATCCTCCAAAGTCCAGAGTTGCACGACGAGCATGGCAGCACAACGGATCACCCGTCCGTGTTCCGCGCAACGCACGACATGCTCATGTGGTCACTGCCAAGACGTTTTCTGCCCCTCTCGGTGACTTCAGGCTGTCCGGGATCTCAGGGCTAGACTTTCGGTGACCAGACGGCCTTTGGCCTCACCGGGCGTACGCGGAAATAAGCATGACCATAAGCGCAGCAGGCTGTACCAGGAGAAGGAACTCCGACCCGCGGCACGATTTGGTTGGTTCATGGCGCAAGAGATGCTGGTATTTACGGCCGTTGTCAGTGCCGCATCGAACAGAATCACCTCGAGCCATGAAGCCGGGGCCGCTAGGGCCCAAGGCCTTGGCCCAGGATTCAGGGTGCTGTCAGCCTGCCAAGGCCTCATGCAGAGGTGAATAAAAACAGCTCAAAAGAAGAAAAGAAGAAAAGAAGACCTTATGCGAACACGAGCAAAACGAGCCATTTTTCATTCGAGGAGGACACGTGAGCGGGGTTCTATCCGGAGCTAAGTTCCGGTGTCGGAGCCGGACACATGCGCCGTGACAAGTGGGTCCGGCATGCGATTCAGTCCGAGCGGCCCCGGTAACCCCGGGGTGCAACCGCCGGCAGGCAATACTTAGATTGGTCTTGGTGTTTCAAGGCTCTTTTCCGCCGCCCGCTGTAAGATTGTACTAAAGCGCTTGTATCTGAGATCCCACCGGCCTGAAGCGTACATGCTGCAAGTATTCGGAGGCGCATTAAGGCGATGTCTGAAACGAAGATGTGCAGGGCGGGCAGAAGACAGAAGGTTTTCGAGGGCTGCGTGTTCATGCGCTTTGAACAGGGCAAAAGGTCTTTCTTGACTCATAGATCAGCGATACTATGGCTGTTTGGCGCGAATAAAAGATTGGCGTGTAATGCCATGGGTGTGCGAACTTATCCAGAAAGCGATCTGCGCCACTGAAGTTGCGGTGTAGTCATGAGAAATCTGATCGTACAGAATCTGCTAGTGAACTATCATAGCGACTCCTGTAGGGTCTAATGGGCGTGATTGTCTGAAGTTCAGCACGCCAGCTAGTCGTCAAATGAGACCTATTGTCTGTGTCTTTTGCTGTCGGCACGCGGTGGTTGGTGGGCCTGGTCGGAAGGGGCAGGGTCGCAGCAGGACGCTGCATAGTGACGAGCAAGATGCAGATGCAATGCGACCAGGACTTCAACACCCATGATAAGTGTAGTAAACCGGTAAAAGCAAACATGCCATGGGCGGCTGACCAGGGCCGCGCCGTGCCACAACGCCCCGTGCCGGCCGATATGTTGAGTGACGCTGGCGAGGCATTTCGAGACAGCAGCGGAAAGCACTCGGCCCACTCCCGCACCCGACTGAATGGCACTGGCGTCGCAAACATCCCCAGGTCTTCGGCGGTAAGCAGCACGCTTGTGCCCAAAACAGTCCCTGAACTTGGGTCTGAGAAACCAGCCTAGCGTCGTTTCCTCTTTTCTCTGTAGATGATATCTGAGATCACTTTGATATGGGTTTTCTCCGATGCCAGTGCGTGATCTGGTAAAAGAAAATGATAAAAAAGCTCTTGGGCAGAATATCGACAGTCGCTTGAATCACTTGACAAGTGTGGGCAGAAGTGGAAGCCCTTGAGCTTCCCGAAGAAAGATAGCGACCAGGCACGCAACGTGGGCATAGAACAATAGGTGGGCACCATGTCGCCTTGTCCTAACCTGCAATTTACTGCGGCTAGCGAGGAGGACATACCTGGGGATGAACATTCTGTCATAACCTTCCTTGCTTGGAAATGGCCGCATCCCTCTCGGAATTCAGAGCTTTGCCGATAGTACTCACAAGGGACCAAGATCGAAGCGGATTGGGCCATTGACTCATGGTAGATGCAGTTTGGGATCTGAGAATTTTCGCGGCCTCCCAGCAGCAACAAGCCGGCAGACCCCGCCGAACAATCATTGGCGATAGCCTCGTGCGAAGGAGGAAATGGTATGGATCCTATCGGCAGACCCAAAGTACTGTGCAGATAATGATCTATCGTCTCATCTAACTGTTTCTCAACGGAACTTCTGCCAAGACTGACAATCCAAGCTGAACTAAGACGTTTGTAGCTACTAATCTAGTGCCGTTAGAGCAGAAAGATTGATGGTCGAGTACGGACTTTCGTTCGCTCATCCTGCGATTTTGTCGGAGTTTGGTACGTGCCAAGATTCATCGGGCCGTGGAAAAAGAAGCAAGCTAGGGGACACCCCTTTTGCCCACAACCGCGTCGGCCGCACGGGTCTTTCTCTCCAGCCCTGCAGCAAAATCAGCAGAGGTCGATTTCTGCCATAAATGATATCTGACAATTGATATGTGACCCGCCTTCAGATCCCGGAGCATCAATGTATTCAAGTCATGGTACCGCTCAAAGTATCACCAAATACCACATTGGATACTACTATCATGATGAGTTGGTACTGGGAGATCAGTATGGCGTATGTCTATCCCGAATTCGTACCTGTTCGCAACCGCTTTGGCGGTATTCCGCAAAAGGTGTTCACATGAACAACGTACATTGTGCATGCAGGGAGCCTTCTCACCTCGCTCCTCATTACGTACGGACACGAAGAGTTTCGGATGCAAGCCGGCAGGCATGCTGACTGGAGACGTGTTCATTAATCAAGTTGCATTTCGTACCGCCAATCAAGTTCTTGGGAGACCCTCGCCCTATGAGACCTCCAAGTTGGCCCGGATGGCATCCCACCAATAGGAAGCAAGGAAAACACCAGAGCGTCTCTTATCGCCGACGGACTGCCGCGAGGTGTGCGCAGAAATTCGATGCAGCATGTCAAGGAGAGTCCACACACCCAGCCTGAGCAGGTTGCTGGTGCTGCAGGCAGAAGCCATTGCGACAACAATCAACAATCATCATTGTCCTCCTTGTGCTAACAAGGAAACTCAATTACCAGGAATGCACACTTTAGTATTATTCATGGAGCGGGAGACTATGAAAAGTATACGTTGAATCGAAAAGATGCGAACTCGTACTACACATGAATGGCAGACCTGCTAAGCCCTTAGAAATTGGAAAAGCGATTGCATCTCGCATTTTGCACGCGTACACCGCCAGTTGTGCTTCTAATTCCCTCCGAAACACTTTTAACTTAGTCTTGTCAATTCAGTGCGCTTATCAGAGTTGAGTCTGCAGATGAGGTAGATGCACTGGCGATACTGGCGTAAGTTGTTGCATTTTCAGGAATTCGGGAACATTTTGAAGCCTCGACCTTTTCTAGGCGTGGAAGCAACAGTATTATCGCGCTGAATAGCCAATACAAAAAAGATTTAGGTTAGTCTCCATTTTGAACCTTTTGCCATACCATCATTACTGTCACAGCGTCACTGGAAAACATGAATGTCTCTCCTAAGCAAGATTCGAGCAAACGAGAAGACCAAAGCACAACATTGTCTCTCTGAAAACTCTTTAGCCGTCACGTTGGTTGATGGGTTGTCGATTATTGCCTTTGACGCTACAGGGCAAGCTGAACCGTGGGCAACGGCATGGCTTTCCCCTTCTTTCCGTTGTTTCTAATATTGTTCGGCAATCGGCATCCGCCGCCCGATCGTGCCAGAGACGTCTTCGGTCGTATAAAAAACAACAACCGCAAAATCAGCTATCAATAGTTTCGTTCCAAACACTCTCCGAAACCGCGCTGACAATGTC